TCACCATTTATCTAGGTGGGGAGCCATCGCTTTCCAAGTTTCCGAGTTGTTGCCTCTCGGCAACAGTGCGTTGATGGCTGGTGTAAGTTCGGCACCGTAGAGTTGGCTTTGTTTTAACTCGGCGCCCGTGAAGGGAGGCGTGGAATTCGTTAATGGCGCCTGTTTCACCCCCTCCTCCCTCCCCCACTCCGTCCCCTCGAGAGGTGTTTCCTGCAGAGCTTTCTCGCGGTGCATCGTGAACTCTGAAAGCACCGTTTTAAAAATGGCTCGTTTCTCGATAAATAACTCGGAGTTATGATTCGCCGGGACAAAGGCGGTGGTATCAGTGACGTTTGAAGAGACCCTTGGCTGAGTTGAATGATTTTAGGGTTGATGATGGCTCCTTTGCGAGGTTTCGTTTCAAGGCGGGAAGTCAATATTCCGAATCATTTCTCAAACGCGGCTCTCGTGATATACGTATTGCTGTAAGTGATTTAAAGATGACGTCAAGTGTGCGAGTTCAAAAGACCGCGTTTCTTGCATCAGCGGGGCTGAAATTTCATATTATTCAGCCCACGAAGCAGGTCTTGAGCCTCGGAGTGTCATACTCGTTTGACACGTGAAAGCTGTGTTTTCACCATTAATTAAACACAGTTGTTTTCAGCCTATGACGCGCATATCTTCGACTCGAAAAAAGTTTCTTGGAAAAGCCACGGCGCGTGCTTTCCTTTTCTGGGAAAATTCGCACACTGCATCCGACTCCAAAGCAAACTTTTCCATTGCTTTTGAATCTTGTGGAACTTTTATAGATTGATCGAGTCCAAGTATTTGAACTATGTTTGCGGGAAATAACTCGATGGGATGGTTTTGGAGATTCAAATGTATATTCTGTCAAGAAAGGATATAATTTATAGGATTAAATACTGAAGGACATAATGTGTTTATATTATCGTGGAGATGCTCGTTTTATAGAGCGGACGCTATCCACACTACTTTGCAGTCATCTTCAGGGGCCGGGGTGGGCCGACCCCCCCCCCCCCCCCCCCCCNTAAAATTCAAGACAGTATCATTGACATCCTCAAGGAAATTCCTCTCATTCTATGAGAAATTCACGCCACGCCACTGCATATCATTCAACAAATTGGGGTAGTACACTGAAAAAAAAAAATCTCTGTGTATTTACTAAGAAAATGGTAAAATTACCAAGAATTCAGGGTTTTATTTGGTCCCAGTTTTTTCTTGGTAAAATTACCATTTATGGTATTGGTAATTCTACCAAGAAATTTCGGTAAAATTATTGAACTTTCTCGGTAATTTTAACTGGACCTTGGTAAAAACACCAATATTTTTTATCGACTGTGGTAGAATTACCGAGATAAAATGGCAAAGCTACCGGGAATCGACAATCGACCAATAAAAGTGGTATTCTCACCTGGGAAAAACAGTAAAAATACCGGTTTTTAGGTAAGCTTACCAGTTTGTCTTGGTAAAATTACCAATAATTGGTAAAACAAGTGAGATGGTAAAGGTACCAACGGACCTTAGTAAAAACGCCGAGAATTTTTTTTCAGTGCATCCAACAAATTGGGGTAGTACCACAATTTTAGGGGATAACCCCTGACACTTTTTTTTCCGTGATAAAGTCGATCCAAATGTTGTCGACACAAATGGACGTGCTTGTAACCTCCTGGTTTTGTTTGTTCGCAGGGATGCACCGAAAATCACTGGAGGCGGCCGACCACCTGAAGGACGACTCAGCACCCTCGAACCCCAACTCGGACAAAGAGGGCTCCTCGGGGGAGTCCGACTCGGAGGACCAACGCGAGGACACCTCAGTCTCCGTCAAATCCGACGGGCCCCCCAAGCCCCCAACGCCGCCCCACCCCGGGGAACAGGACCCCCCACACCTTCCCCCCGCCAACCCCGAGGAGCTCCGCAACCACTCCATCGCGTGTCTTCGGGCCAAGGCCCAAGAGCACTCGGCCAAAATCCTCAACTCCCTCACCGCGGATATGATGCTCGTCAATAACAACACGCTCCGCAATAGCTTTATGAATAACAATAACAGCGTTAGTAGTAACAACGGAGGCGGCGCTGAAGCGCACCCGACTGACGTCAAATCGTCGGACACGTCGTCATCGATGTTCTGACCTGCGGAGAAGGTCGCCGAAAGCTAGGTCTTCAGCGGCGGCACCACCCTGCCCAAAGATGGCTGATTATTTTAATTTGTCGTCGATCATTTTAAAGGTGCAAGCCTCCACACTTTTGAATCTATTTGGGGTGGTATTTTTAAGCATTTCGCCAATTTTGATGGATGTAATTTGATTACATAAATAGACATTCAAAATATTCATAATTATAACAAAAACAGTTGGTACCTAAATCCAAAATTTTCAAGAAAATCAAAGACGAGTGAGAGGGCTGATTTTGAATACCTCAAAGGCTCAAATTTAAATATTCAAATACTGCGTTTTTGTCTCGGAAATGTCCGAGTCCTTGAGTAGACCCTTTTTCCGTTTTTATCATACATTTGTTTCAAAACAAGAAAAAATTGTCATTCCTGGATTCAATGTATAACATCGCTAAATAGAATTTACCCTTGCAGGTAATTTTTCCCTAAGTTTTAAAATTATTAGATTTTCCAGTTCTTATCAGCTCATAATACTATTCCTTAGGCAATTCTGGGAACTTGTGAAAATTAGTTCCCAGACTCAACGTAGTATTTCTTAAGAGATTTCTTTAGCAATGCTCTCCTTACAGCCACATGTGTCACATAGCGTTTAATACACATGGGACATCATTTCAATAATTCTTAGTTCTTGTCTGAATCCACACGGGTATTACGGTAAAAGTTTCTGAAAACTTTCCAAGAAAAATTTTGATTCTGATTTTGAATTGAAAGTCTCAACAAACTCGCGAGGCTGACCCTCAAAGATGCCATGATCTAGCTCTCTTTTCCTAAAATGCGCGGTGGAAAAAATTTTCATTATGAAAATTCCAAAAGTGGCTGCATAGTCACTATCAACTTAGGTAATTTTAAAATAAAATTTTCATGTTTCTAGTCTCCACTTTTATGAAAATAAGTTGTATATAACTGGATTTAAGGTGTACACAGTGTAAAAAAAGTTAATGTAAAATTCTAAATACGTAAATATCAATCAAAATTTTTAAAAATTAGATATGTCTGTAAACATTTAAATTCGGAGAGCTTTTATTCAAGTATAATTATGTTGTGTTCTGCAATGGTGTAGTGATATTATTTGTATATTGTTCTTTATCAAATGTAAATAAGTGCATTACACTTTTTTTACGTATACTTACGACTCAGGACAGACTTTGAAAGAAGCAATTCCATAATTCCATCTTTCGTTCATCCTTAATTTGAATTTTATCTTTAACAAATTCCAGATTTTTCAGTTGATATGGTGCTTAATTAGTTTTTATCGGGCTCATTCTTGAAAATATCGCTGAAAATATGTTTTTGCTCGACAAACATGTCAAATGAATTCCAGCCATTACAGCTGTTCGATATCCACTCTCATTATATCGCTGCAGTATTATTAGTATACCTACCATTTACGTAAAATGAGATCTCAGCTAAGATAATAAAATATAAGGAATTGTGGCTTCGCCAGAATTTTAATGTGCTAAATTTGAGTGGCATAAACAGAGAAACCCCACTTGTTTCTGATGGTGTTACCTTGGTACCCTCCTGCTAACTCCTAGGATAAAAAGGAGGATATCAAAGTAACACCATCATTATGTGCCCCAATAAAGTTTCATCCTCCGAATTTTCCGCTTTTTTCTATTGCAGCAATTCAATGTTACCGTCTGAATATTGCCGAATTTTTATTGAAATATTCCCAAAGAAGATAATTTTTTGTAGCACAAAGCAAAATGCTGAAAATTTCTTAGAGATAACATCTACTCATTTTCATTTGGAGTAATTTGATCATTGACGGTGAAACTAGAAAAAGCGTTCCTCTGTTTTTGGTGTTTGAAATCCTCTGCCACGTTTAAAATCGTCACCGTTTGGCGTGAAAAATAACATTTTTATTTAACTACCGAAGAATGTTAGTAAGCTATATTCGCTAGCATTAAGTTGAAAAATATATTAAGAGCAGTTTTACCGAAAAACTGCAATTGAGGTACGTATTTTTCTAGTTTCATCATCAATACGTGAAATTTGGAACCGTCATACTCAATCTGTGCTTAACAAAATATATTCAAACTTTCATCAGAAAAATATAATGATAATTATATACAATGATTATAATTTAAAGTGCATTACGTAGAGCCACCCTCCTCATGCATGATTTCAAGCTTATTTTTGTCGAAGAGCTTTGATATAAACTTTTAGAGATTATCTCTGAGGCTTTCACTACCTCTACCACTAATAATAATTGATCTGCTTTAGTTCAGTCGCAAACAGATTTCCTGTAACCATTTTCCGATGTGTAATCATAGACAAATACAACAAAACAATACAATACAATAAGCCAAAAACATTTCTGGGAAAAATAAACGAAATAAATCAGTTTCATAAACTTACTACTTTCGTTTTACAACTTGTTACTCATAATGAAAGCATTATCCGTGCTTCAACGAAGCACACTCTGGACCAGCCAAAGTGCGGTCACAAAACTCTAGCAATTTTCGTTATTCCAAAGACACCTATTCTGTCCTTTTTTCGGTTTTGTAAAAAAAAATCCTCTTTCACAATTCTATGGTATTTATAAATCATCTGTATTTTAGAAATAAATATGTGAAAAACTGTACATAGATATATAGTGTATTTATAAATAAAAATCTAAAGATGCGCCTGACCGGCATGCAATTGATCCGTTATACTATTAAAATATTTGTCTCTGTATACTTTTTTCAATGTGCAACATTAAAATAATATAACGTCTAAGTAAAATATGAACTTACTGTTGTTCATTTCATCACCACCCATAAATGAGGTTCTTCCACCTTCTTTCTCCTCCTCCTCCCCTTCTTCTTCTTCTTTCCCTTCTTCTTCTTCTTTCACTCCTCCTTTTGCCTTCGGGAAACTCTGAGGCAGAAGTAGACAGTCTAATTATTAATTTTGACGCGTTGCAGATAAAGTCATGATCGTAGGCGTAGCTAGGAAGATTTCGAGGGACTTTTCAGAGAGCTGGTGCCAAGGTACCTCCTACACAACCCCTTTTATTCTGTTATTTTATGGCTTTGTGCTGAGCATACACAACTCCTTCAACTACAAAAAAATTATAGCTGTAAGTTTATCAAAACAATAGGTTAATTTTGCAAGGAAAATCTCACAAATCCAATGTTTTTTTGAGAAACCTATCAGTACGCACAGTATTTTACTCAGATTAGATGCAAACAGGCACTTTAGTGTATTTTGCATTCAACGCCGGTTTTTGATAAAAATGTAGACTGACTGTGTGACGTGTAAATCCTCACAATCAAGTTTTGGTACACAGAATGTATAGAGTAAATAAAAATATCAACCTTAAAGTGAGCTTGCCTCATCATAGAAGGCCTGTAGACCGGTTAAATATAGATAAAAACCTTAAAAAATAATTTGCATAGTGCCTAATTTCCCCTGTACCGAGCAGCGTTTTACTGAATGACCATTTCACATATGTGGAGAAATAAATAGCCTATTGACATAACGACATATAAGAAAAAAACACTAAGAAGTGGCCCGTATACCGTATGTAATAAGGTGGAGGAATGGTGCTGGGTCCACACCATTTCGCGGGGAAATCAAAGCCGAGAAGTTCAAAAAATTATAATTATACAAAAAAAAAAAAAAAAAAAAAAAAAAAAAAAAANAAAAAAAAAAAAAAAAAAAAAAAAAAAAAAAAAAAATCTTTTTAACTCTTAGAGTGATAGAAGTTAAAGAACTAAGGTCCAACACTAAACTTTGAGATACGTTGTTGGGGAATTTCTGTTCCAAACCTAGTTTTTGTCCATTTTTACTGAATTAGGACGCAAAAAAAGAATTTGACAGGACCTCGCCCTCCAATTTACCTGTTAAAAAGACTCAGTTAGTCCCACAACTGGATGGAACATCGTACATTGAGAATAATTGGACCGCGTTAAACAGAAAGGAACCAAGCCACATCAGCTATTGCCAAATTTAACAGGAGAATTTGATTTTTTACGAGAGAACGTTTGTTCGGATTCCTTTGAAAATTTCAAGGAATTTTCTTTGCATTATGGAGAATATTCATAGAACTTTGCACAGAAATCCGCACAACCGTTTTCAAGTAAAAAATTAAAGTGTCCGGTTAAATTTGGCGATAGCTGATGTGGCTCGGTTCCTTTCTGTTTAACGCGATTCAATTTTGATTACTGGATGCGGTAAAAAACTTCACCCATGATTGCACTAAGTCGAAATCGAACGGATGAAAAATAAACTGGCACCTCCAAAAGTTTCATTGATTAACATAATCTTTTTGCGGGAAGTTCCCAAGTGATCAGACACCTTCGAATACGCACGTACGGAAGTACGATACCATTGGCGGATCCAGAAAATTGGCAACATTGTTTTTCTCCATTTAAACCTATGGAAATGTATCGATTCTTGGAGGGGTCAGGTGCTCCGACAAGAATCGATTATTAAGCATAGGTTTAAATGGAGGAAATCCGGTGTTGCCAACTTGCTGGATCCGCCTCTGTACGATACGCAATTCTGATGACAAAAAGCTACTCCCCTTTCACCTAACAGATTGTCATCAGTCATGAAAATGTGACTCCAGTCCATTTACTTAGAGCAGACTTAATAATCTGAGTGACGATACTTTAACTCTTAAAAGTCCAGGCCGGGCCAAAATAACCCGAGGCTTGCTAAAAACACGTGGGAAACAGGCAGTATGGGGCTGGCGAATACAAGCTTCAAACATAGGTCTATATGTCTGTAATACATCATAAGAAAGAAGAAGAAAATCAAATTGGAAAAAAGAAGAAGCTTGTGTTAACTACAAGTACCCCCAGAAATCTCAGCCGAGTCAAATTGACCCAACTATCCTTCTGGGGGAGTTACACATAGTGCCAATACATACGAGCTTTAGATATAGATCTGCAAGAACATGCTAAAAAATAAATTCGCACATTTAATAGAAGAAGAAAGAAAAAAATCGAATGTCAATACAGCCGAAGACAAAGGATACGTAATCGGGCCTCGTTTTCTTTTTAACTTTTCTACCGGATCTGAACGATAACTTATTGGCAGCATAGAGCAGAGCGTATTGCAAGTTCTTCCGCACGCCATCGCGCCTTCAACTTTGCAGATACCACACGGACATCCATCAAGTACGAATAGTTGTATCTCTGCGCCGTCATCAGTACGCGCCGTTTCTTTTACTCTTCTACATACCATGTTGTGTTGGTGGTGCCTCTTGCTTCAAGTGCATCGTGAGCCCAACTATCCCTCTGAAGGATTTACCTATAGTGCCGATACATACGAGCTTTAGATATATATCTGTAAGAACATCCTAAAAATAATTCGGACATTTAATAGGAAAAGAAAGAAAAAAATCGAGTGTTAGCAAAACCGAAGACAAAAGATACGTAATCGAGCCTCGTTTTCTTTTTAACTTTTCTACCGGATCTGAACAACAACTTTTTTTTTTGTTTTGAATATTTATTAGCACATCATTGTACAAACAAATTTAGCACTTTTAGTTTACAATTATAGAACATAAATATCCTATAAGATAGTTAACTATGATAAATGAATGAAGATGAAGACGATGAGAATATGAAAACTTGGATTAAACTTAAGAAAAGGGTTAATTATCTATAAAGACAATTGCCTAATTACTTAAAAATAGGCAAATTTTTATAAGGACATTAGAAAAACTGTACATACAAAAGATATGTTAAAAATAACTGTGTATATACAGTAATATGTCTTTTAATTTCACTCATATGAGTTACTAACCCTTGTAGTAAAAGACAAACAATATTAATCGTCAATAAAATCGGTTACCAGGTCAAAAGGTTTTCACCTTTTGAGCCTACGAAACGACAACTGCATGTTGCAAGTTCCGCCGCACGCCATCGCGCCTTCAACTTTGCAGATGCCACACGGACATCCATCAAGTACGAATAGTTGTATCTCTGCGCCGTCAATACGCGTTGTTCGTTTCCCCTGCTTCATATCCATGTTATCTTGGTTCCGTTTATCTTATTCGGAGCGGTACTTTAAGGATTACGTGAGGCAATACAGTTGTGGATGGAAAAGGCGTATCTCGTTTTTTAACTTTCCTCCCGAATCTGAGTGACAACTCATGAAAGAAAAGTAAAAAAGTAAAGAAAAATTTAAAAAAAAATTAAAAAATAGTCGTTTAGAGTTTTCTTAAGCGCCCTGAAGGGCACAAGTCTAATAATTGGTATTATGGCGAGATTTGAGTCGTGTCATTGAATTTCTTTCTTAATGACTACCAAATTCCGAGCCGGGTTAAATTGATGCGACCATCTCTTCTGGGAGAGTTGCAAATGGCGGATGAGGAGAGAGTTTAAGAAAGCGCCTCGCCGGTGTGTTACCAAAAAAGAAATAAAAAAAAAAAGGATTTCGTCTACATAGTATAAGCCATCACACAGTTAACTAAATGCAGTTAATTCCAAGTCACCCTTACTGAGCCAATATGATGTTTGTGCATGTGCATGGTGCTGAATTCGTGCTCTCTCGTTGCACCAATCTCAAAAATTTCCTTCAATCTAATGCGATGCAACATTACAGACACAACATGTGCAACAACTGCTGATAACAAAAGAGTCAACTTACCCGATTGTGACAAGGAGTTACCACCTTCAAAAAGTGCACGTATTCGAGATAAGTTAACAAATTCGCCAAGATAATCTGTTTTCTGACATGATGACCCAAATTCTGTTCTGAATACCTCGACGAAGCTTGGGCTCTGTTCGCTCCAACAAAACAGTTATTTAATGCGGTTGGCAGTGCTGACAGTATTTTGTTTACCTTCCTTTCGGCTTTTCAGGTTATGGATTTTGTTTACACATCGTGATGCATGAAGCCACGAAAATTTTGAAGCACTTCTCCGGAAAGTTTTTAATTCTTTTAAATTATTTTTAAACATCATATTGTGATTTCCAATAAGTCCAAGACTGACATCATCAGTTAGTAAGTCGAACCGCTGCTTTTACACAAAGAGACATCCAAATTTCATTTGACAACCATCTCTGCATCCCATCTTCTAAGTACACACCGAATAGTCTCATTTTTTTCGATTTTAATCTTGTCTTACGGATCTCAATTCGCTTTCATCGACGATGAAATTTTCTGTTGGAAAGTTGATCATATATCTTGCGTTGGTAATCGTAGTCCTTCAGATCATTCATTTGATTTTGCTAAACAAACTTGAAAACAGGAACAGACTGAAATCATTGTTGATGGCTCCACAGCAAGTTGATATCGATGCGACTGATGAAGAAGTAAGTCAAGCTTTATTCTTTCCTTACTGAATTCGATTTACCTTATTTTCAATGTCAATTTCCAGCATGTGGAAACAACTATTAATGGTGGAACTGAGTGAATTTACTTTTCATTTGCAGCCTCCTAAGATTTCTGATCCAATTTCATTTTCTAGAGGAATATGTCCAACCATTTTTGTTCGTAATTTTCAGAGATTATGCGAAAAGCGGAGGTTTCAAGATTGTTTGAAAAGGGTAAAGAAAAATCTCATGAAATCTGGTGCAGTAAAGATGCTGGACCGTCCATAGTAAGACCAAAATTTTAAAAGTCTGCTAAGATGCACACTGAGAAATGTAATCTTGTCATCTTACCATTCAGAAGTCATTTATTTCAATTCTAATCACCAGCAAGCATAGAAGTTTCTCTTAGGATGAAAGAGTGCTTCAATTTTTCCTAACCAAATACGATATCAGAGTGTTCAGAAGCCTCTGTA